TGTGTTCTTTATCTGTAAAACATACACAATTAAACTAAAAGAAGAAAGAAAGCCCTGGCCGGTTTGGCTCAGCGGTTAGAGCGTCGGCCTGCGGTCCGGAGAGACCCGGGTTCGGTTCCCGCTATGGGCACGTACTTTGGTTGCAGTTTGTCCCTGGCCCTGGTTGGTCGTGCGGGTGGCAGCCACTCGATGTGTCCCTTCACGTCGATGTTTCTCTCTCTCCCTTCCTCTCTCTCCCTCCCACTCTATCTGTACAAAAAATGGAAAAATGTCCTCGGGTGAGGATAAAAAAAAAAATAAAAAAAATAAAAAAAAAAAAAGAAGAAAGAAAGAAAAAACAAGAAGCCATCATTTAAAAGAAATTGTTTTAAAGAAAAAATAAGAAAATTCAATGAATTGTTTTGAAAGGATTTATTTTAAAACTCTAGTTATGCACTCTGTGGAAATAAGTTCTGTGCCAAGTCATAAATAGTAAAAGGTTCTCAGTGTCTGAGTTTACCATGGACATGGTATAGCTTATTTTGAGCAAAGAACAGATGAGTAGAAAGTACAAAGACATTCTAGCAGCTGTGACATCCTGTTATAAAGCAGCAGCCACAAGTAGCAATCAGAAGCCTAATATCAATACAAAATTCTTAATAAATGTCACAGATTTTTAACAACAAGAAAGAGTACCCATATTATGCTACCTTGTCATATAAAGAAGAATGGAAAAATATACATGTATCCATTCATTTGTGCAAAAGCACAGAAAGGATAAATTAATGAGATTGGGGATGTGTAGGAACCAGGAAAGAAAGGTCGTGGAACAAGAATAGAAAAGATGAAAGGATAGTGGTCATTTCCTTGAGTATAAATATTTGCACATTTTTGTCTTTAGAATTATGGTAATGCTTTATGTACTCAAATAATAAACAAGTGATTACAATTTTTTAATGGGTGCCCGCAAAAGGACCATGACAAATCAAAATGCCATGGTGGGGTGATTCATTCTCTCAGCCCCAGGTAGGCCAGACACCCCTGGACCAGTCCCCAGGGTATCCTAGAGACTACCCCCAGCCAACAAGGCAGATTTCTTTACCCAACAAATAAGTATAGGACACCTACTAGGTGCTGGTGACTAGCCTTGGCCCTAGGGACACAGCTGTGACAAGAGACCCAGAGTCCTAGTCTAGTCTAAGGGACCCTGTGCTCAAGTTACAGATCTTACAAACGCTTGGTTTCCTGCAAACCCCCAGGGCCCAATGGACTGTTGTGTATTGAATTTTAAAAAGGTGATCTTCAAGTTTTAGGAAAGTCTGAACAAAATGGGGGGAGGGAGAACTTTTGTTAACCATGGATGGGAAGACAAAAAATATTGTGCACAAATTCCATATAATTCTGCAAAGTAGCACACTGCATGGGAATAATTTAAAAGCTGTGCTTGTGCAAGAATGGGATAAGATAAAAGGGCCGAGATCCCTCATTTCCTCCATGCTCAGAGCGGAGGGAACTGGCCCAGGTGGCACTCAAAACGCATTTGTAGACCTAGTACTGGCTTCAGCGGTTTACTGTGTGACCTGAGTAGAGTTAAGCAGATCCATTGACCCTTAGTAGAGCCATCTCCATCTCATTTTAAGAACAGAGATGACCATATCTCCATTCATGAGCAAGAAATGACCAACACACACACACTTGACACCACACAGTCTGGGCTGCGCCAAGTCCTGTCTGAGAACCCCAAGACTTCCCTAGCTTTTCTGCTTGAACGCCAGGCCTAGTTTCTTCCCTTCTCCTCCCAGACACCCAAGCTTCGGCAGGCGTGTCGCTAGAGCTCACCTTACAGCAGCAGGGCAGTCCTTAACGCGGTTGCGAGGACTCGGAAGGAGCAAGATCAGCGTAGGCGGGGGCTCTCAGTGCGCTCTTTCCCTGGAAAGGAAGGAAAGTGTGTATGGGGGAGTGGGGGGCGGGGGGAGGGATGCGCGTATTTGCCAGAACTTCTCAGCCTCGGAAGGTGATTCCAGGAAGTCGAGTCATGCACAGGAGGAAAGGGCTGGGAGCTGAGACCCCACTGCAGCGTCGCCTATTTTTGTGGCCTTTCTTCCTGGAGGGTTGAGCTAGCAGGAATTGAGCACCTCTCTCCAGGTGCGCCAGGGCCCGAGCCGAGGCCACCCTTTGCCCAACCAAGATCCGTGCTTACACCGCTTGGGAGGGGTAAGAAAGCCTTTTCACGTCCAAGATCTCATTTGATCCTTGCATCAAGGTAGAAAAAAAAGGCAAGGCATGGGACCTGAGAGCAGGATTTGAACTTGGGGCTTCTGATCCCAAGGTGTCCTTCCTTCTGTGACTTCATGGAGCACGACAGAATTCCACCACAGAATGAGGCGCTGGTTATGTTTGCAGCTTACTGTTTGAATGTGGGGTCTCCCACAGCCCCAGCTTGGAAGGTGAGAACCAAGCGGAGCTACTGGTGAGGAAATATAAATTCGTATTTTCTCTGTGTGGGGTGGTTGTTGTAAATACTCACCTACTAGACCTTCACCTGCAACTCTGTGAGGAGGAGAAGATCATACTATTTTTCTAGGAGATCCTGGGATGTCTTATAAGTATTAAAGCATTTGATTAATTAATGTTTATTTTACATATTTTTTAAATCCTCACTTGAGGATATTTTTCCACTGATTTTCAGATAGAGTGGGAGGAAGAACGGGAAAGAGACCCGACCAGGGCCAGGGACCGAATGGCAACTGAGGTGTGCATGCTCTTGACCAAAATCAAACCCTTGACTCTTTGGTCTGCAGGCTGATGCTTTAACCCCTGAGCAAAACCATCCAGGACTGTCTATTTTACATATTTATCCCAAAGAAATAATCCAAATTGTTGACAAGAATGAAGTCACAAAGATACTCCCAGAGCCTTATAGTGTCAAAAAAATTAGACATAATATATATAACCTAAAAGTATAAACAGTCTATTATGGTCTATCCATAACAGGAACTATTATATTGCCATTTTAAAATATATCTGTAAAGACTCTAATAAAGTGCTGGGTGAGCTTATGATGTAAATTTAAAATTTACACACTCAGATATATTCATACATGCAAAAATATACAGAGAAGGAAGTGCACTAAAATGTTATCTCTGGATGAATTGCTGTTTTCTTTTCAACTTTTCCTTATTTTCCAAAGTGTGCATGAGTTTTATAATCAGAAAAAATAATTTTAAATTTAAATAAATGTATGGGTCATTGCAAGATTTTGACATCTCTGAAGACAAAATGATGTCTCTTTCAGAACAGAAGAAAAAGAAGGGTACTGCTTTGGCAAAATCAGAGTTTGGGGGTTACCTGGACATTGATGAGCTGAGCCACTTCAGGAGTCGTTCAACCTCTCTGATCATGTGGTTCCTCACTGAAGAAAAAATAAAGAAGCTAGAGCTCAGGGAATAGCTTTGATGTAAAAATTAAATGACATGATGTATAACAAATAATTACTTGGCTAAAACATACAGTTTGCTGAAATTTTGTGTGAATTTTTTCAAAATTTTTTGTACTCACCCACCTGGACAGAGAGCCCAATTAATGCCCAGACAGTCTTTGTAATATTGCATTTGCCTAAAAAGGTTTATTTAAGAAACATTTTATCTAAAATCCCAAAAAGAACTTGTGAGATCTCATTTTGATTTTTAAATATTTTCAAAGGACTTAGACTGTGCTGAGACTCCTGGCCTCAGGGCTGTGTTGTCCTCATTGAACCATGTAGCATGAGATTTTACAGCAGCGGACACTGGTTGATGGTTTCACACACATTATCTCACTGAATTCTCACAACCATCCTCTGTTGGGCATATTGTTATCTCCAGTTTTGATTAAGTCAAAGCTTAGAGGCATAAATACTTTGCCCAAAGCCCACAATTCATACAATCCTGAGTAAGGCTATTCCACTTTGGCTTTGATGACCATTGTACCACACCGCCTCCCTTTCTTGGTACCAGCGATGTCACAGGAGCTTTTCTGAAGAGCTAATGTTCATCAAAACAACCCACCCACGTTCATATCACACACTCAAGGCTATCAATTTTAGGGAGAATAAGAGAAAGGGGAAAAGGAACTTGGGACGTGAAGGGCAAGGTGAGCCCGTCTGGCACTTTCACGCGGACCAGAACTTTTACCTTTCTTCCTCCCCACCCACTAGCGGAGCCTGCTAAGAGCCTGGGCAATACCCCAATACAGCTCCCTTGCCCTTTCTTAGCTCCGGGTTGACCTGTTCCACCTGTGAAGTGGTGGATCCGGGCTCTAATCGAGACATTTACACCTCTGTCTAGGCCACGGTGGGTCAAGACTCGCTCCTCTGCCGTCCAACCTCTGCTGTCCAACCTCTGCTCCCTAGAAGGAGATCCACGCCACCTGCTCCCGCCTTGCGCCCACGAAGACTCCTGCGTATACCTACATTCCTCCGGGTGCACAGCGGTCTCCACCTGAGTTCCTCTGCAACTGGAGTGGAGAGTTAAGCTAGTGCCACTCCGGAAGGTCAGGCTCGGGTTGCAAAGAAAGGGCTCCATCCCCCATCCCTGAAAGTCCTCTAGGACTGTCCCGGCGGACCCGGGGTTGACCTCGGAAGCTTACGCTTGTACCGTATTCACCGAGATAGGAGCCTTGCGCACCACCATCTCTTCCTTTTTCCTAGCATCTGAGAACCATTGATACTAACCAAACCTCCCCAGAAAATGGCTGGGGCTTGCAGAGGAATTAGAAGGGCGCGGGAGGAAAGCGCTTGGAGAGGAAGGTGCTACTGAGTTAGCACGTGGTTTCTCAAGGAACCAATGGGGGTCGACAGTCTCGTCACTTGGCCCTGGTCACCCGGCCCTTAGGGATGGCCCTGAGGAAGGCGCAGTCCGGGACGCTAGGCGTCTGCCCCAGACCTTGGGTCTGCGGTGCCAGCAGCGACAAGACGGTAAGCTCAGGGCGTTGCACTCTGCGGGGACAGGGGTCGCCCCAGCCCCGCTCCTCCCACCTACGGGATGTTGCAGAATCCCGTCACCTCCACGCCCTTCTTGGTCAACGACATCCTGAGACAAGAGCGCGAACAGATTGGCCTCGAGGCCTTGCAATTTCAGGCGGCAGGGAGGAGCCGGGAAAGCTCTCGGTATCTGCTACTGGTCCCAGAACCGCGAAAGTCGGAGGTTTACAACACCGGTAGCTGTGGCGGCGCCGAGAGAAGGGAGAACGGGTCGGAACCTCCTGGGGATTCCAGCGAGCTGGTCACAGAGATGGACACGGAACCGGTGGGTGAGTACACTCTCAGGTCTTGACACCTACAGGAAGATCAGGAGGGTAGGGATGGGTGACTACCAGTTGTCTCATGGGAGGACATGCATCTCCTGGTCTTCCCAGTCACAAGGGCCCAGCCTCTTTCCCCCTCAAATGAAGTCCAAAAGAGTAGGCTCTGCGCCTACTCTACCACCCCACCAGATCCCCAGTGTGCTTCACCTCTCCTAAGGAAACTAAGGTCCTGAAACTTAATTAAGGCTTTACTAATCCCACAGCAAGTCCTCATATTCCCACAAACACATCACCGCACTCACAGCCACAGTCCCGGAAACTCCAGCTTCTCTTTCTTACAGCGAAACCGCTACACTGTCTTAGCTGTGCTTAGTCACCGCTTGCCTTCCCTGCCACCTCCGAGTCTCTCCACCCTAACCCATGTGCCTAACCCATGTGTCCCGGCAATGCAGCGGGGCACTTTGGGAGAAGAAATTCCGACAGCTGTGGGGTCAGTCTTAGGCCGGCCCTCTCTTGGAGCTTGCTAAGTGGGCTGGCCAGTCCGGTCAATCCTTTGCCAGGTTCCTCCTCTCAAAGGTGAGAGGTGGCGACCGAACCAGTTGATGCCTGAGTCCTGAGACGTGGACAACCCTGCGGGGTCTAGTGGCTAGCCCTCCGCGTCTGGGAACACAATAGGGGTAGCTTGAATTTGAGCTGCTTGGAGAAGCTGCTCTGCGGAGTCTCGGGGCAGTTTAGGCGCCTGGTCTCGAAGGCGCAATTGGTGCGCGGGCAGCGAGGTCCTAGCCTCTGTGTCCAGCAGCAGGAAGAGAAGAGGCGGGCGGAGAGTTGTGTTGCATGGGCTCCTGTCATGAGGAAGGCTTGTGTCTGAGAGGCGCGACATTCCGAGGGATGAAAATGCCACTCTTCCTCCGGTCCAACCTCTGAGCCTGGGTCTGCAGCCTCGATGCAGATCTGGGGGCCCTGAGAGGTGCTTTGCAGGTCGGCCCACCTCTCTGCCTGGCTGTGTCTTGGCCCCTCCGTTCAAGGCGCAAACTGACCAAGTAAATAAAGAGACTAGTTGAGAGTTATTCATCCACTTGCAGGCTGGTTATTCACGGACTTCAGAGCCTGGAGATTAAACTTCGCTTTGTTCGCAAAGAAGGGGTAGGGTTTTTTTGCAGCGGACTCTAAACACTGAATTCCCTCAGGGCTGCTCAGCCAACTCGGCGTTCAATTCGGTTCTAGCGAGAAAGGGTCACACTCCTCGGACCACTGCTCTCCCATCGCAGCCCAAGGCACCTGAAGACACCCATAGTGTGTCCTCTTCCGCTGCCTTGGACGCGGAGAAGGTCCCAAGCCTAGCTCTGAGAACTAAGCCCACAGTGGCGATCACGCAGGAGAGGGAACTTTTCTGGTGGCCTAGCTGACCCACCATGCTTTCGGGGGCACAGAGTAGAGAGGATCCAGACTGTGACCAGAAGGGCAAGAGGTGCTGGCACTCAGCCTGCCTGGTCAGTAACTTTCCCATAGGGTCCTGCGTGTTTCACAGAGTCGCTTAAGGACACTTGTTACTTTTTGATTTGCTAAGAAAACAAACCTTGTCAATATTTTTGTCTCTTTGTGAGGAAAAGATGTCTTCTGTTCCTCTGAGTATTGACTTCTCTGAAGAGAGTTTTTATTTCTTCAAACTTTAAGTACCAAGCAGCTCATCCCATAGGAGATTGTGCCAACTCGGCTGGGGATTTAGAGTTGAGTTCCAACCTGCATCAGGTCTAATTAAACATGTCCTGTTCGAGGATCCAGGAGCTTGCATTCCCTCCAAGTTCCTGGTTTATTCCTGGCTGAGTTTCCAGGAAAACTGCATTTCCTGGAATCTTCAGTAAAAACAGAGCTTAAGTCAAGATAGTAGAGAGGTGGGAAGAGGAGCAGGGAGCCTGCATCTTGGTGGGCTCTGAGCATAGCGTCTGCAGCTGTGGTCTTTAGCCCTGTTTTAACCGGTTTAGTTGGAGCCCATTTGGTGTGCGCTGCCTGGGCGCTGGCCTAGGGAAGAGGAGGTCAGGACCTAGCCAAGGCTACCCGCTTGCCACAAACCCCAAAGGAGAAAAAGGCCCCTTTTTACAAAGCTAGACATGGATCTCAACTATACATATACCTCCTAGAGAACCTGTTTCTCAGCCAAGAGTCAGGAGCCAGACAGTGTTATTTTATTTTATTTTGTTAATTTTGGATTACAGAACGTCGCGTCTAAGAAATATGGGGCTGGCCCCTGCTGCAGGTGGAGCATTTGGTGATCAAAAAGACAAGGGTGCATGTCCATTGTTCATGCACACATGGCAAAGCTGGGGACAGGGCCGGGAGGGAGGGGGAGGAGGGAATCAGTGGAGGAAAAGGGAGAAATATCTGTAACAAAAATAAATTAATTAATTAAATTTAAAAAATGACAAGGGTGTGTGGCAAGGCAGGGTGAAGGTGGCAGACACTAGGGACTCTAGTTTGGAGCCAAGTACGTGGCAATGTGTGCGTGACTACGCTGAATTACCAGAAGGACAGGAGCCTCTGGCAAACAAGTCACCTACTCTCTCTCTCTCTCTCTCTTGCCCCTTCCACCCCCCCCCCTTTTTTACCAAGGGCAGTCCAAAGTCAGCCCCCATCTGTTAAGCCCTTTACTCACTCCTCATTCTTGCAGCAAAAGCTTCCTCAAACTCAACTACACGTTGGAATAGAAATCACAGCAAACCGCCTCCACACCACTACTTACCAAAACAAACAAAAAAAAAAGATATTCTAAGAGGAAAATAAAGCTGTCTTAGACTCTTTGTCAAGAAGAGTCTTTTGGGAAACGGCTGTACACCGGGGGCAACAGACTGTCACAATTTACATATGTTCTAGCAGGTACAAAAGCAATTGTGCTGGGGGAAAGGAGCCTTCAGACCGGCCTGGGACAGGAGTGAGGTGTCATCAAAAAGGAAGGAGAGAGGGGGGAAGAAATAAAGGCTACCCAGGGAGAGGGGCGTCCACTGAAAACCGTGCAAGAATTGCTCACGGGAGCCTTAGGCTGGGCGCTGACAGTGTTCCTCCCTGTGCTTTTAGAGCCCTGCCTCCGCGCAGCCTCGCCTTTCCGCGGCGAGACCCGCGGGCCAGAGCGCTGCGCGGGCAGCAGCGGCGACGGGACGCTCATCGAACGCGCGGAGGAGCCGAAGGCGCGGCAGCGGCGGCGGCCGCGCGTGCTCTTCTCGCAGGCGCAGGTCCTGGCGCTGGAGCGGCGCTTCAAGCAGCAGCGGTACCTGTCGGCGCCGGAGCGCGAGCACCTGGCCAGCGCGCTGCAGCTCACCTCTACGCAGGTCAAGATCTGGTTCCAGAACCGGCGCTACAAGTGCAAGAGACAGCGCCAGGACAAGTCCTTAGAGCTGGCAGGCCACCCCCTGGCGCCGCGCCGGGTGGCGGTGCCCGTGCTGGTGCGGGACGGCAAGCCCTGCCTGGGCCCGGGCGCGCCGGCCTTCCCGGGTCCCTACGGCGCCGCCGCCGCTCCCTATTCCTGCTACGGCAGCTACGCGGGCGCTCCCTACGTAGCGGGATACAGCGGAGGCTACGCGGGCGCGCCCCCGGGTCCCGCACCTCCCGCGCCCCTGGCCAGCCTGGGCCTTGGTGGGGGTGGCCCGAGCCTCAGCGCGCAGGGCCATCTGCCCGCCACGCTGCAGGGTGTCCCTGCCTGGTGATGCGCCCTGACTCAGACACACCCCGCAAGGCCAGGGGTTCCAGCCCCACTCTCAGCCAAAGGGTAGCAGCAGAGAAGATGGGCCGCTGCATTGGAGGGAAGAGGCAATCCGGATGGCACTTCTCCCTGGAGCGATCCCTGGGTCTGTGAATTGCCCCCTATGAACTTTCCAGATGAAGGCCCTGGGAACGTTCTCCTCAGAGACAACGTAGGGCCTTCGCCAGCCGCCCACGAAGCAGCGCTGAAGGAAGGAGGAAAGCCAAGAGTGGCGGGCAGTTCCCAGTGGCAGGGCAGTACTGAGGAAGGTGACTCGGGGGTCTCAAATTTAGGAGGCTAGAAGGTTCTTTAATTTGTGTGCTGCAGCCCTGGGCGCTCGGAGGTGACTGGGGGGAGGGGGACTCTAGAGGGCGAAACCTTCTAAGGGCAACAGGTCAGGGGAAAGAATGAGAAAAAGAGTCGACTGAGGCAAGGGTGATGAAGAGCTAGCCAGAAAAAGGGTTCAGGGGGTCAGGAAGAGGGGCTCTTGAGGGATTTAAGCCCACCCCACCCCTTCCCCAGCACCAGGCTGCACTCCTGGGTGCTCCAGATTACTCCAGTGGAGCTCCCTTTCCTGCGGCTGCAACTGCTGTCCACGAAGTATGCTCTGCTTCTTCCCTCCATGCCAGTGCATTTTGTCTCTTGTATACAACTCAACATCTTGAGGAAATACACGAAAAATGCCTGTGTGTCCGCACGTGTGTAGGCCATTAGAATCTGTCCACCTCTCGGTCACCTCTGAACAACTTCGAATTAACGTAAAAATAAAACCCAGAAGTTTTGAGTCCTCAGTATATACAAACTTTCTGGGGACCAAACTGGATTTGGCCCTGGAGCTAAGTTACCTGATTTCCTGTCTCCCACCACCTCTTCCTCGGTCAGTTTTCTTCTGTAATAGGTTTCTAAGTTCCAGTCGGGAAAGGAGGCATCCACTTAGCCTTAAATACTAACATGAGGGATAGGGAATCTGAACTTTAGGTGAAATTATGACTCCCCGGACCTAAACATGTCTGAAGTCATGCAAACTGAGGACTAAAACAAGCTCATTTTATTAATGGAAACTTTTGGCTTTGGCACACATTAGCAGGAAAATCAGGATTAAAAAAATAATAATAACATATTTAGTCAATGAAAACACTGGTTCATCATTCCCTGGACCACCAACTTGTCAAAAGATAAATAGTATTATTTAATAAATTCTAATGTTTAATTAAAATTCAATGGCCCAGCATTTTCTCATTTCTGGATGTTTTCTGGTTGTTTTTTACTGACATAGGAAAGACAGACTGTTTGGTCCCTTGTAAATTATACCTATTTTACATAGCTTACATCTCTTAAAGTATATATGTTAAGCTAAAAACATAGGTAATTGTTTAGATTTTATTCTTACTACTATTTTCTTACATTTTCTCTCTTTTTTTGCTTTCTTTCCTTTCACTTGTTAAGTGCCTTGTATTAAATTTTCCCAAGATTACATTTTTCCAAGATTCTAAAATACCGTATATTAAGTTTTAAAAATTCTTTGTTGCTGTCCTTTGAGGAAGGCCCTCACCCTAGAAATGTAGGTCATCATACTATGGATCTAGCAAAGTACTTGGTACCGGGTAAGAAATTAATAAATGTATTCCCTCCACCTCCCACCCCTTCTAAAATAGTGAAGGAACTTAGAAGCGGTGACCAGACCTGTGATGTCCTGAACAGGCCTCCCAAGCTCCCTCCACCACCATTGACCAAATGGAAAAGCTCGGAAAAGGAGCCAGGGCTGTGCTCAAGGCTGTGAGTGAGGGAGAAAGGGGCTTAGTCCCGTCATCAGTAACTCAGTCATCACTGAACATTTCTGCTAGGGACACAAGAGAAAACAAGATTTGGCTGCCGCCCTTAAGGAATTTATTATCTAATTGGATACCAGAGACTGACATGAGAAAGGTATCTAAAAATACAAGGTGGTATATGCTGCCTGTCAAATAGGACAGACAATAGGCCTCTAGAAAGAAAGAAAATCTGGTGTGAGCTGGGTGCTTAGAGAAGGTGCTTAGAGGAGGTGGATTAAGCCTGTGATTAGGGTGGGAACAGCACTGTTTCCTGGAGGAGCTCTGGGAAAGGTTAGGACTTTGGGGTGGAAAAAAGTAAATGGGCACATGCTGAAGCCAGAGTCATATTTTATGGTAATTTGAATACAACTCACGGCTACCTCTTAGGAGTTTGTAAATTGTATTTAGTTGGCTGAAAGGGGAGGGTGAGGCTGGAGGAGGTGTTTTCATACACACCCAAGATCGCTTTAAATATTCCACTGGCCTGCGACATTGTCCGTTTCTCTCTCCAGATTACTGTAGCATTCGTATTTGGTGGTCTAAACAAAACAAATAAACTTATCACAAACCTTGTCCATGTGGATTTTTCTTGAAGGGAGCATGGAAGTTTGAGATTCACAGGACAAAAGGAAAGAAAAGAGAAGAAAAACTGTCTTCTCCCATCTCCCCTCTTTCTGCCTGTCAGGATCACTTTGAAATTCTCCCCAGCTCATCGAGCCCACCCCCAGCTGCCCATCTTCCACCCTGTAATCTCTCCTTTGCACTGAAAGCTGCCCCTTTCTGTGTGTGTCTCATCGACCACAGCTTATCCGAGGCATGGCTTTCACCAGGCTCTGTAAGCCATCCGCCTCTTATCTGCATCGTTCAGGCCCATCACTCCAGTCACCTCTTAATGTTCACAGTTCCCCAAATGGGAAGTAATTGACCTCTAAACAAAACAAAAAAAGCTCTCAGAAAGATAGCAGAGGTTCCTTTTCGGACTGTCCCAGGGCCAGGGGTCTCACCTAGGCCAGGTGGATAAGTCAATAAAATCGCAGACTTCCTGGCTCCCTGTCCTTCCTTTCCCTGCGCACAGCCCCTTCAAACCAGCTTCATCTCGATACCATCTGCAAATCAGATGGATGGAACACAAGTTGAACTCAGATTTCGGAGTTGCCAGAGATTTCTGGTATTTATTTTTTGTAATCTTATTACCATAATGATGTAACTTTGGGGAGACACACTTACATCTTTTAAAATTCCATTTGAAAAGTGTTTACAATCCTGAGTTTACACCAGCTCTTTATTATATCAGTCCACTAACTTGCCCTTTTTTTTTTTTTTTACAAAACAGGGGAACCTCCCAGGCAGAAAAGCTGTACCCGGCCCCATCACCTTCCCCTAAAGAGGCCTCTTCAGAGAGATGGAAGGTGGTGAAGGAACACTGAGTTAGGAGCTGTTGGACCTCGTTCCAGTCTAGGTTCCACTAGTGACACACTATGTGACCTTGAACAAGACTTGTAACCTTACTGGGCTTTAGTTTTCTGATTTATAAAATTGAGGAGGTAGCTCTCTAGGCTATTATTCTAATTTTTAGTGGCTCCCTAATGATTTCAGATGCCTCTATTTTTATTTATTATTATTATTATTATTTCTTTTTAATCCTCACCTGAGCATACTTTTCCATTTATCTTCAGATAGAGTGGGAGGAAGGGAGAGAGAGAGAGAGAAAAAAAAAAAAAATCGATGTGAGACATAGCAGTTGGTTGCCTCCCGCACGACCAGGGCCTGGAATGTACCATAACCAAGGTACGTGCCCTTGACCTGAACCGAACCCAAGACTCTTTGTTAGAGAGCCAACGCTCTAACTGCTGTGCCAAACCGGCTAGGGCTATTTTTTAAAATTGTAGGATAGATTATATATCTACAGGACTATATAAAATATAGGTACAGTTAGCACTGGCTGGTGTGGTCAATGGTTTGAGGGTCAGCCAAACGGTCACAGGTTCAATTCCCGGCACCAGTCAGGGTGCGTGCAGGAGGCAACCACTCAATCATTTGATCTGTCTCTCTCATATCAATGTTTCTCTCTCCCCACCCCTCCCCCGACCCCATTCCTTCCACTCTCTGTAAAAATCAATGGAAGAAATATTCTTGGGTGAAAATTAACAAAAACAAAAAAATACATTTACAATTTAAAGAATAATGGTAATGTGAACACAGCTGTAACCTCCTCTTACAGCAAGAAACGGAGGTGCCAGCTCTCCAGCAGCCCTCTCCCCACGCCCTTCTCAGAATACTAAACCCCCTTGTCCTTCTTTCCCCCAAAAAGATACCAGCTATTTTGACTTCTGAAATAGTGATTTATAAGCTTCCCTTTACAAATTTACCCCTATAGACACATCCCTCAATAATATGATTTCATTTTGCCCAATTGTGAATGTTACATAATAGAATCTTACAGCATGTATTATTTTGTGACTTGCTTCTTTTATTCAACTTTGTGAGATTTACCCATGTGTTTGTGTGAAGCATTAGTTTGCTCATTTTCATTGCTACATTGTACCCATTGAATGCATGTACTCAATGTATGTATTTATCGAAAATGCAGGTAGTGTCCAGCTGGGGACTGTAACAAAGAATGCTGTTAGTTTCACCTTTCCTACAGGTACAGCTGTATTCTCAGGCTGCACTTTGTCCTGGTCTCATAAACAGACTTGCAGGGCAAGGCTCCATTCTTCGACAGATTTCTATTTCTATAACAAATAGCCTTACACTGGTATATCCTTTTAACTTTTGTCTGATTTCATTGCATACTCATCACCTCAATCTGAAGCAGAGTATATTTCTGTCCCCATTTGCAGAGGAAGAGTCCAGGGGCAGAAAGGTGATGGCACACTGTGAGTTAGTGACAGAACTGGGACTAGACCCTGGACCCTCTGTCCCTCTGGCTGTGGGTTACTTCCACTGAGTACTCAGCAGAAAGTTCAAGTCCTCAAGCAAATCAGGTGAGTCTTGAGTGACCCCATTTTCTTTATTTCCTGGGGGAACAATGCCTAAGAGAGAAGGATGGGAACCTTTTGGAAAGCATCAAGAGAGGATAAATAGGAAGCAAGATTCCAGAGAGAGTGAGTGGACGATGGGAGAGATACAATAGCACCTTTAGACAGACAGA